CGGGGCGAACTGGTGGTGGCGCACTCCAAAGGAGTAGCCCGGTCCACTCCTGCCAGGACGATAGTACATCAGATCGTAGTAGTTGGGTCCGGGTCCAACGTTCTCGCCGGGAATCGCGGTACGTGGCTGCATCGAGTAAATCGGAGCACGGTTTAGTTTCACATTGATATCGCCGCCTCCATATGCAGCCGGGCCAGGCGAGTTGGCCTTGTTGAGAATCTTGGTTTGTAGGCCCCTATAATAAAGAGGGTTAAGTGAAGTTAGCAAACGATAATACCGATAAGTCTTGATTTACTCACATGCTGTAGCTTGGGACTCCAGGGCGAACGGCATTCACCTCGTACTTGTAGGCATTCGGACCAGGACCCTCCTTTTTAAAGTTGAAGTCCGTTCGCAAACCCATCGAATAGGACGGAGCGTTGACCCCCGTGAAGAATGGCTTCTTGTGGACATCGTGAGCTCCGGGACCGGGACTGCTTCGCTTGTCTACAATAATGTGATTCCTCAGCTCCTTAGCAAACCGCAAATTCTTTAGATTCATTAACAGACTCACCTATTGTATTGGTCCTGGGCGCTATAGAGAACTCCAGCCCTTTACTGTTGCCGTAGCGCGTTAGCTTATCTACCTTATAGGCCCCTGGACCAGGGCCTAAGTCCTCTCCAGGAGCACGCGTTCGCATGCCGAAGGAGTACTGTGGCATCCGCTGTTTTCGGTTGTCATGCTTATCATAGCCGACAGTGGGCGGCAGCATATAGACGCCGGGTCCGGGGCCTTTGAATGTTATGGATAATTAGTCTACCACTCGCCCCATTTTGAAATAAAACTTTCCCTTACCAAAAGGTCGCACCGCCATTTTTAGTTTTTAGTTTTGTGCAATATTAGAAAAAGTATTTGATTTAAATTTTGACCTCAATGTGAGGTGTTTGCCGAAAGGATCCCACGAACAGAATGAGGTTTCCATAGGCCCCAACATATAAGCTAGGGGCGAAGTCGAATCCAAAGCCCACTCGGTTGGGAATGTTTAAAAATTAAAATATATTAAAATATTTCATACTAGTTTTTAATCGGAAAATTGTATTACATTAACCTAAATTAGTTCGAAACATAGTAAATGATTTTAATTATAGGAGATTCGAATATTATGGGTAATCAAAGGGGTAAATGGTTTACAAAAAATCAGCTCCATATATATTGCTTTTATGAGCCAAAGGAACGCCTAATTCGGACACTCAAGATTGCTTGAGATTAGCTGGAGAACTGGGCAGTGCAGCCTATTCCACATCCATGGAGTTGTAAAGCTGTTTATATCGAGATCCACGTCCGCTGCTTTGAAGCAGCATATCATTATGCTGTTCCCTCAGGGCCTATAGAATAATACGATTTAATTATATTTTCCTATTATTTATGCCATATTTTACCTTTGGATCGTATTTCTGATACAAGTAGACCAGTATTGGACCATAGATCATGTTGAAAACGCCTACGATGCGCATTAGCCAAGCAAAACCAAAGGTCTGTGCCAACTCACCGCCAATAAGGGGAGCTGGAAAACTATTATATTTAGATAGATCTTAAGCAAGTTCATTAAAGACTTACCCAAGCAATAGGCCAGGCTAACGGAGGTCTGTTGAATGGCATAGACAGTTCCGTAACTGGACATGGAGCTACTGCTCTCACTGTGATCCTCTTGGGAAAGTGTGGCATCCACAAAAGTGGCCAAGAGCGGAACCAGTGCCGCATCAATCACTCCTATGCCAAGACCCAAAGCAAAATGGGGCATCAATAGTTGGGCAACTGTTGTTGCACTGGGTATCTGCAATCAAGAATTGAAATAGGGTTTTTTATTTATAATCATTTATACAAATTACTTACCAGAATAGAGGCCACACCCACTAGCACCAAACTGACGCAGGACACCTTGACCTGGCCATATTTATAGGCAATGCTGCCAAAGAAGTTCGTGCCCACGAAGTAACCCACGGAGTCTGGGATAAATACAGTGCCCAGCTGCCACTTATTGGGCTTCAGATACTGGATCAGCCAGATGGGCAGGCACGGCTCCAGCATGGCCATTGTGGAGGTGGAGAACCAAATGGCCAGCACAATGGCCAGAATCATTTTGCACTCGAGCAGGGGTCGCCACTTGGGTGTCTCCTCCACCACCACCTCCGGCTGCACAGATAGATCCAAGGTCAGCAGCTGGAGACCCAGACTTAGGAACATCAGCGTGGAGAGAATGATGAAAGGGGCCGATTTGCCCATCAGGTCATACAGAATGCCACCAAAGGGATAGCCAAGGAGCACGCCCAATGCAATGCTGCCCAGGATGATGCCCATCACCTTGGAGCGACGAGCCTCCTCCGGATAATGCTGGGCCACAAGACTCATGCCGCAAATATTGATGCAAGCGGATCCTACACCCTGTACCGCCCGGGCCACCAATAGAGCCCAATACGATTCACCAACGGAGAAAACTGTAAGGATTCAAAAAAACACATTTTAAGATAGTAAGGTTTTTGTTGCAGCCCAAATAAAATATTTTAAAATCAGTTATGGTTATATATGTATATGTAATAATGTAAAATTCTAAATAATTATCTAAGAATAGTATAATATTATCTCCGATTTCTGTGGCATCCGGATAAAAATATTATATTGGACCATATAATTTAAATGATTTGAAACAAGCTGTTAGAATTAATGTTTTTTATGACTATTGGTATCTTAGTTAATCCTCTGGCATGGTAATAAAATTCCCCTTTCATTTATTCGCCTGATGGGGGGGGGAATAAAAAACCAGTTCCCCAAAAATAGATCACTCACCCAGCGACGAGAGGAGCAGGAAGAAGGTGCCCACCACAATGGGCAGGCGGTAGCCAAACTTGCTGGATGCGTTGCCGACAATCGGATTGAAAATTAATTGGACAAGGGCCTTCATCGCTAGGAGAAGGCCAATGGAGCCATTCTCCTGCGCCAAGGTCAGCTCTTTAATGCTGCTGCTGGTGGGTGGATTGCCGGGGGGCAGCTTTCTGTTCCTGCTCCTGTTCCCGTTTCCAATTCCAGTGACATTAGTGCCACTCGACTGGACATCAGTGGAATTGGGCGTGAGTGTGCTCGATGAGGTGCTAGCCGTCCTGGTGGTGGCTTCTGTGGACAGCTGGAACAGGGTGAAGTTCACCATTGATTTGCCCGGAATGGGATGCTTGGAGATGTAGAGCTGAGGATGGCCACCTGGGTGTTCTCCACTTGCCCGATAGGCAAGTTTCGAGGATGGTGAGGTATCCTCCAGACTGAGGACCACTGGCGACGATGAATCCAGCTCCAGACTGGCCAGGTAATCCGGCAGAATGGGCACTACAAATGCGTTAATTATTGTTTATTACCACGCTTATCTGCAATTGATTTGGCCATTTACCAATTACGGTTAGCAGCATGTTATCTAGCAGCAGGGCCAGGTAGACAATCACTGCAATTAGGCAGCGATTGGAGTAGCCATTTGCTCCGGACGGAGTGGAGCTGCGCCTGCCGGAGGCATTTAGCTGGGCGGCCGCCTGGTTTTGCGATTGCGACTCCGAACGGGAGTGGTTCTGGCCGCGTTTCGACTGCTCCGACATGGCTAACGCTCGTTGGGCTTATTGGACGACACAGATACCGCCAATTTAGGCTGCCATATGGCTCCGGATTCGCGCCACAAAGTATGCTCGCCCCAAATGTATCTACACAGAGCCAACAGGTGGTGGTGCTGCCCCAACGACGTATATGCGAGTATTGAAAGGCGGCGACAAGTTGCCGTTCTATTTTATTGACACCAGGCGAACCGAGCCGAGCGAGCTGCCCGAACAGATGGCCCAAAGGCCGAAGCCAGCCAACCCAGATGGATCCCACTCCAAGTCAATCTAGTCTGTTTGTGTTGAACATGGCTCTAATGGTGACCTCCAGGAGGGTATTTGATTTTTAAAAACATTTTTAAGCCAATTTGGGAAAAACACGAATAGTTATGATTATTATCTTGGTTAAAGCATAAAGATAGCATAGGTATAACTTATAACTAAGATGTCATATAAATAATATACAATTGGTTTTATATTTATGTCTTATAAATTTTCTAAAAATGTAGGTGTACTTCGCATGAATATTTTTGGAAATTTATAAATGGCAAAGTGAAACCCGGAACACTTTTAAATATTTTAAGAACAAATTTTAAAATAAAAAAAATTCAAATAAACAATAACATTTAAATACAAATTTTGTATTTTTCACGACAAATATGTAGGAATATTATTTAAAAGATCTTTACACTTTACAAATTCTAAAATTATTCCCAATGCTTCGTTCCGCAAAAGTAAGAGCATTACAATTTTGTACTATCCAAACAGTTTTTCTCAATTTTTCTATTGAACTGGTGATAGTTTTTGTTAACACCAAACTCTGCTGCACACACACATGGCCTTAAAGGTTTTGCCATGACATGGTATTCAATATTATTAGCACCACCCTCGATATGGATAGGATGGTGATGGAGATTAAAGCTCTTGCTTAAAGACCCCGCAGAGCGAGTGTTTTTTTCCTCTGCCCCGATAAGCAGGCTATGGACTTTCAGCCTTTAGTCACATTTTCCGTGTCATTGCACTTTCTGCTGTTTAAATTTAGTCCCGACAAATTTGTGATGAATTTCCTTTATGCTGAAAATTGATTTTTAAAATGGAGAGTGCTTGCTATTAACCCATTTATTGCTGAGATGTAGCATTAATAAGAGGTATCTACAAGTCACCGCTTGGGAAACAAGGCAAATCCATGGCCGAATAGGTGATAACCAGTGGTAATGATTAATCATTGGAGTAGATAAGCCGAAAGCACACCTGTTTCGCAAATTTGCTAATAAATCTACACGCCCACTTAAGCTTGATATACCGATTTGGCTAATCTGACAAATATTTCCAGTTAATTGATAAGGTAGTCGTCAAAAGTTCAATTGGTAAGTAATAAAAACCAATTTGTATTAGAAAGTATATACTAGACAATTTATTTTAACCAATTAACGACGGTATATAGAGTACTGTTCGGCTGAAGGCCGTCCAAAACGCGTGACCTTGCCCGGATGATAGGCAGCTGGTCCTGGTCCATCGACTTTTCTCGTACTATTGCAGGACCTCGAGGATGTCCCGAAGGAGAACTGCGGGCTTCGCTGCACCCGTTTGTCGCAGTTCTGATAGCCAAAGGTACTGGGCAGGTTATAGGCGCCAGGTCCGGGTCCTGAAAAAGAGGTATATTTTTAGAATTTTTAATTTACTTCTTCTATTTACAAAAATATTTTTTGTTTTTAGTTCTAGAATTTCGGTTTATAGAAAACTTAAAAATACTTTACCGATAGATCTGTTACTCGACATGTTTTATTGGTTTTCTTTTAGTTAAAAATTCCGAAAATTTTGTAAAATTTTGAAACTCTAGAAAGAGTTGTTTGCCGAATGGGATTCAACTAGAGACTGAGGAAACTTCTCTTACGTCCCTAGAATAACAGATGAAATGTAAAATCAAGGCACAGCTGATAATGATACTTTTGATGCAAATCTCTGTCTTATAAACCTAATAAAGGTTATGGCCATATTCTCTTAGCCAGCAAAACATAATCGCCAGGTGGTCTTATCAGGTAAGTTTCCTGTATTAGCCTCTTGACTTGGGGCACACCCCAAATGGTCAGATAATCGCCTAAGACCACCAGTTGGAACCATTAAAAATTTCAATCGGCTTGTGGCGTTCGGAGCGAACGGTCAACCAGTAAAATGTTTGCCAGCAGAGGAATCTTGGTCCTGGCACTGCTGCTGATTTCGGCAATTGGTAAGTGGCAATAAAAAGCAAGTCATAAGCCAAAATTAGAACTGAAATTTCCCTGCAGGTGGCCAATCTGAATCGATCCCCTGCAAACTGAAGGAGGAGACTCATGGCAAGGTGTGCGTCTGCACGGCAGACTATTGCGATTACTTGGAAAATCCCGTGCTGACGGATGAAAACGAGTGGTTCCTGATCTCCAGTTCCAAACAGGGACTCCGATTCTCTACAACCAGTGATAAATTCGGGACTGAGGAGAAAGTCACTGTGCAGGATTATGTGGAGCCTGCCCCTGAGACGAAGAATAAAACTATCCTATCGCGCCTGGTCGATAAGGTGGTGGCCAGTGCTTTTACTTTGGAGTCCCGGGAGAGTTCCATCACTCGCTCAGTGACCCTGCGTTTGGATAGAAACAAGACCCACCAGAAGATGGTGGGTTTTGGAGGCAGCTATACCGGAGCTGTGGAATATTTGGTGGATAACTTCAAGCAGTCGGAAATGGCCGATCACCTGTACAAGTCCTTCTACGCCGAAGATGGTCTGGGCTTTAATCTCATGCGAGTTTCCATTGGCGGCTGTGACTTTGACCTAGAGCCTTGGTCCTACGCCGAGGAAGTGGATGATACCTTGCTCTCGGATATGGATGAACTGAACGCCCATGATGTGAAGAAAGTGGAGCAGATCAAGCGCCTCATTGCAGTGTCCGGCGTGAAGAATCTTCTCGTCAAAGGAGCCGCCTGGAGTGCTCCGCCATGGATGAAGACCAACAATAAGTGGACAGGATTTGGACGACTTAAGCGGGCTTACTATCAGACCTGGGCTGACTATCATCTGCGTTGGATAAAACTGATGGAGGACAATGGCATTCCCATCTGGGCCATTTCCACGGGCAACGAGCCCCTCAATGGCATCGTCTTTATGTACTTCGTGAGATTCATGAGCATGGGATGGACTCCGCAGACCCAGGCCATTTGGCTGAATGATTACCTGGGTCCCACCATACGTAACTCTGAGTTTAATGACACCATCCTTTTTGGCAACGACGATCAACGCTACTCCTTCCCCCATTGGTTTAAAATGGTAAGTTAAGGAACTAAAAATAAATAATTCTAAGAACAAGTATAATTTTATTAGCACCAATTAAACTTCAAAGTTCTTATTTCTTATCTGGAATTTTTTCAGATGAACTATACCCGACCCAATTCGATTGATTATCTTGACGGATTATCGTTGCACTGGTATTGGGATGAGATTTTCGGCAACAGCTTTATCGAGCACACCACTGAGTATGCCCCCGACAAGATCTTGATAGTTTCGGAGTCCTGCATCGGGGATAAACCCTGGCAGGCTGCTGCTCCTCTTCTGGGAAGTTGGGAGCGGGCCGAGAAGTACGCCCGTGATTACCTGCAGAACATTAAATTGGGATTCCAAGCCTGGATCGACTGGAACATTTGCCTAGACGAAAAGGGTGGTCCCAACTATGTGGACAATACTGTGGATGCTCCAGTTATAGTCAATACTACAAGTAGAAACACCCTTATATAATAGAGTGATCAATATTGAATAACAAAATGTATACCTTGCAGCCTATGAGGAGTTCTACAAGCAGCCCATGTTCTACGCCATGGGTCACTTCTCCAAACTGGTTCCCGAGGGATCCGTTCGTATAGATGCCGTTCCCAGTAACGTCAATCTGGATTCGGTGGCCTTCCAGCGACCGGATAACAAAATCGCCGCTGTTCTATTTAATAGCGGTCGCGCAGATCTGGACATCACAGTGGTGGATAGTGTTCGTGGTCAGTTCGTCGTAAACGTTCCGGCCAAATCCATTCACACGTTATTGTACAGCTAGAAACATTTTATTATTAGAAAAAAAAATGAAATGAACCATACAAAAAACATATAGAATTAATATGCATTTTTAAAAACTCCTTAAGTGGGATAAAGTCTATATCTTACCATATCATATGGCCTCTTACAAATATTTAAATTCAACTTGGGGTACTTTATATATTAGAGGCTGGTAAATGTTTTCTTAAGTAGGTGGGGTAAGAATGTTGTTAAGAAATGTTTAAAACTATATTATTGCAGTCTACTTTTGGGCATTAAAAAAGTTTAAGTTAAGGTTCCGCGAAAAAATAACAAATATCAAATACGAAATAAGTAAAAAAAATAAGTAAATTAAATAAACAAACCTGTTTGATAATGTTTAAAAACAATGTTATTTGTGTTATTTTTTATGCTTACACAGAATTGAAATTTTCACGCATTTGATTCGGTTTTCAAAATGAAGCAAAGCAAATCCCTTAATATGAACCATCAGTTGCAGTAGACCAGTGGACTAACAAAGATCGTTTTGAAATGAATAGATATTTATATTATTCCCCGGCTATATCACTTTTGCTGTGCATTCTGCTCTTCTCCTCCGGACCTGCACAGTTTCTCTATAATCCGGATGACAATGTGGAGCAGCTGGATTTCGCCTCCTTTGAAAGTGGACTTAGTGAGCCGTCAACGGGAAAGCTAGTGAAGTTTTTCAATGGATTCTTTAAGGACAGCCAACAATTTATGCCCGCATTTAGAAAGCTATCCCGAAAGCTTTACAAGTGGAAGCGTATACTGAAAGTACATGTGTTCGATTGCGCGAAGGACGAGAACCTTAAGATCTGTCGTAGTTTCATCATCCGTAGTACCCCAACCCTGCGTTACTTTCCTACGGCCTACCATCGAGACCCAGAAGATCTGGGTACCGAGATCTCCAGTCGTAATGTAAAGGAAATTGAGTCGGAGTTGGCCCTATATCTTGCGGAACTAAAGTACTTTAAATTGTTTTCGAGGGAGGACAATGTGAAGGATATTTTTCGGGACCATGAACACGTAAAGTACATTGCCATGGTTTTCCAGATGTGCCTTTTTAACTTCATGCCGCACTTTGAAACGGGGAATTCCATGGAGGAAAAGCAGGCTTCCCTGGACGACTGCAACAAGGATAATCCAATAGTTGCGACCATTGGAAGGAACACCCTTTTGGAACTGCTGCCCTATAATGAAGTCGCTGTGCGTGTCTTCGATGATCATCAGGTTTACACCAAATTTAACATATCACCAGTGCCAAATTTAATAGTTATCTTAAACCGGAATATAAAACCGCTGTTCCTAACGCCCGAGGTGGACACCAGTGAGGCTTATGTGGCTGCCATTAGGCAATTTCTTGAGTTTTCCGACTTTAAGCCGCATAAACCCTTATTAAAAACCCTACCAACAAACATTACTGAGGCCTTGCGTTATGAGATTTTCAAGCAACACAAAAATCGACCTCAACAGATCTATCGAGCCGATCTGGAACGGGCTGTTGACCAAATACTCAACGTGGAACTCCCCAAAACATCAAACTTTGTTGGAAAAAGGCTAAGTGTCGTTAACAATTTCCTAAGGCAGTTATACTACCTAAGTCCTCTAAAACCAGAGGCCAAAGAAAAGCTGAACAACCTTTATAACTCGATGAAAATTAAGAGCAGAGTTTCCGGAGTTAAATTTAAAGAGTTGGTCTTAAAAGCTTTGAAGAATTACACATTTGACGGAAAGCAATACGTTGGCTGCATTGCCTCTCGTCCTTTTCTGCGCGGTTTTAACTGCTCATTTTGGGCACTATTTCACTATCTTACTGTGGAGTCTGAATCCTTTCATGCGGGTGCCGTCGTACAGGTCTTCAACGGCTTTGTGAAATTCTTCATGGATTGCAACGATTGTCGAAACAATTTACGGGAGTTTAAGAAGATCCGACCACTTTCTGATGTGACCCAGATTGATCAAGAAATACTATGGCTGTGGGAGGCCCATAACTATATCAACAAGCAGTTGGCCGGTGGTTCTAGTGAGGATCCAAAATTCCCGAAGATTCAGTTCCCAAGCGAAAGAGATTGCCCCAGCTGTCGGGACAACCAATCAGAGTGGCGCACTGATGAAGTGCTGAAGTATCTGAAGAGCATATATTCCTTGAAAAACCTAAGTTGGTTCGGAATGGCATCTGCCAGTGCTTACACTTACTCTGATTCCTAAAAACCACTTTATTTTTTATTTTATATTTCCATTTCTGATTTAATTTTATTAGTTTTACTTTTTAAATAAAGCTAAAATAATATTAAAAAGTTTTAAAGATTTATTTCTCAGAAATTCGATTTACGCGGGACTTGGAAGAGTGTAGGTCTACAAAACTTTACCATAAATCACCATTAAAATGGGTCTTAAAATAATTTAAATCATTTTCTTGCAGACCAATGTAAAGTAAATTTGTAAGTATTTTCAAAATCCAAATATTCGTAGCTCTTTTTGTTTTTTAACCCCCTTTGGGGCTCCCGCTCCGCCTCTGGGTTTGCATAACTTTTACCTTTGATTGCGTGAGTAGATTTCCAAGTGGGATCGCTCCGACTGGCGACTATAGCTATTTGCCGGTCCGGCTGCTTTATCAAATCAACAGCTGAGCCCGGGTCAAGTGGCGTTCGAAAACATAAACATGAAGTTGAGCGAAATTCGGTTGCTTGATCATTCGAAAGCAAAGTGTCTCTGGTTTTGAGCTCAGTTGTGGACAGGCCTTCGATCGAGTCGCATTGTCTCTTGGCTGGATTGCAAATATGAAGACACTTTGGATTTGCTTTCTTTTTGCAGTCATCGCAATCTGTGCAGGTGAACGGGAAATAATAAATTCATGCCTACCTGAACACCCCAAAAATATACATAAATACCTGTTGCAGGTGCTCCAGAAAATCAGCTGCCCTGCGATTTGCGCGAAACGAGCCATGGAAGTGTATGTGTTTGCAACAGCACCTACTGCGATTATCTGGAACAGCCCCAACTCACTGATAGCTCCCAGATTGTGGTGATTAGCTCCAGCAAGGTGAGTCAGCAGGATTAGCAGCACTCGCGGTCACAGAAATAACATTTCAAAAAAGTATATGGCAAATATTTTTTACGACCTTATCAGGCATGTTTTTAGAAACGTTAAAGTAAGTTAAAATCGCGATTTAAACGAATTTGATATATTCATAACTAGTGTCAAACGTTGATTGTCATGCTTTTATTGCTTTCTAACTAAACTATTTGTTTTTCAAAATAGGTTTTATTTGTCATCGGATTCGAATAAGAATAGATTTGTGCCTGCATTTCTTTAAAGCACAGATTATATTATCATCCAAGTTTAAATACAACTTAAACCTTTTTTCAGGATGGCCTACGCTTTAAGAAGACAACGGGGTATATTACAGACGAAAAACCTTTAACAGTAGAAGACAAACAGTTTACTGATGAGAACTTCATGGCAGAGGCGATTGTGGTGGATCAGCAGAGAGCCTGGTTGCAGTTGGCCAACATTCCCCAACGCTTGTGTAACTAAAAAAATAATACATATATCAAAAAAGATCAATAATATCATTTATAACATTTCAGTTATCAATGCTAGCACTAAGACCTTTCGGATATCCGTGAAACGAGAGCAGCGATTTCAGAATGTTTCCATTTTTGGTGGTGCCTTTACAGGAACAGTCTCACATTTAATCAAGCAATTGCCAGAAGATCTACAAGATCATGTCTATAAGTAAGATTGAATTGGATACCATTCTGAAATTTATTTGATATTAAACCATTCTTACAACAGATCCTATTACCATCCCGATGGAATTGCCTACAACACTGTTCGAATGTCAATTGGTGGTTCGGACTTTGATATGGAACCCTGGGCCTATAACGAGTGGCCCCGTAACGATCCTCAGTTGAGTAACTTCACATCCCTCGATCCAAGGGATCTGCAGAAAATTGAGCAACTGAATCGCTTAAAGACAGTTGGTCAACTGGATGAACTGAAGATAATGGGAGCCGCCTGGAGTGCTCCGCCGTGGATGAAGAGCAACGATCGCTGGACAGGATTTGGCCAGCTGAAATCGGAATATTACCAAACCTGGGCGCTCTACCACCTCAAGTAAGAATGTTCTGGGCAATACATGTGCCATTTATGAGGGACTTGATATTCTTGCAGATTTCTCGAACTTATGCGGGCTAAAAATATGCCGATTTGGGCCATATCCACCGGCAATGAGCCGCTAAACGGCGTCATCGGCTTCTTCTTTGTGCACTTCATGAGCATGGGCTGGACGCCCTGGCAGCAGGTATGAGCCATTACCCATTCGAAATTGGCCACTGGCCATCGATCACGATTCTGGCTATTAAGCATGTCGACATTTTTTCGGCCAGGCTATTTGGCTGAACGACAATCTGGGACCGACCATCAGGAACTCGGCGGAGAGCAAGGTGCTCATCTTTGGCAACGACGACCAGCGGTACACGTATCCCTCATGGTTCCGAAAGGTATTTAGGGTCTATAACAGCAAATAGAAAAAATATTGTTAACATTTTAATCTATAATTCTTTAGATGCGCTCTTCCCGCAACAACTCACTATCCTTTTTGGATGGTCTGGCAGTACATTGGTACTGGGACGAACTGGTAGGTCCACAACTCATTGACCAGGCTCACACGGAGATGCCCAAGAAGATGATATTAAATACGGAGTCCTGCATCGGGGATAAACCCTGGCAGACCCATGGGCCGGAGCTGGGAAGTTGGCAGCGTGGCGAGAGCTATATGAGGGCCTACACCCAGGATCTGAGGCACAACTTCAATGGCTGGTTGGATTGGAATCTGGTGCTGGACGAACAGGGCGGTCCCAACTATGTGAAGAACTACGTGGACGCTCCCATTATTGTGAATGCCACGAGTCATGGTGAGATATACAAGCAGCCGATCTTTTATGCCATAGGGCATTTCTCGAAGTTCCTGCCACCACAGTCTGTGCGCATCGAGACGCAAATCGAGAACCAGCGAAATGCCTTCACCCAGCTGAGTGTTGTGGGCTTTCAGCGACCAGACGGCAGTGTGGCGTTGATCATATACAATGGGTAAGTGTTAATAAACTGGGGGAAATAATATAACAATATTGCAAAACATAGGAACATTGGGAAACAGAATTTACCAATATAAAAGTTAAATAATGCCAACCCATGGAATTGTCCATTAGACCAATAAAATATATACCCTTACAACAATAAAATACTATCACTTTACAATTTTTATAAAACTTGTACGATAATATAGTAGCCCAGGCCACAATAAAGTAAATATTATTATTTTTATGGTAGTACAAAATTGTATACATACTTAAATATTGCGTAGGTCAAATTACCTATCAAATTTATAAATTATGGTTAATGAGTTTTCTAAAATGATTATTATATCATTCCAATCAATGAATTAATTAAATTTATAAATTTATAGAATTTTATAACGATAAGGTTTAACTTCTGTTAGATTTATTATGTTCTATCAATGAAATCCATTCAAAATGGAAAAAAATTACTTTTCATTATAAAGGAAATCCGCCTATACCAATAATTAAATATATTTTAAGGTAGTAGGCAATTTTTAAATCATTTTAGGAACTTTGAAAGAATAATTTCCTAAATTTCCGAGTGATTTTTCCAAGTGCCTCTTGCGCATCTATTTCGGGTTGCATCTGCGACGGTGCCGCTTAAGTGCGTCAACTTAATTGCCGACAACGTTGCGATTCCGCTTTATGAATGTCTCTAATGGAGACCCTGCACTCCGATACTTTTATTCGAAATTTTCTAAGTCCCTGCTCTTGTAATCTTGCAGTCAGAACCTGCCGGTGGATGTGGCCCTCAATGATAGCCAGCGTGGAGCGATCAACCTCCGCCTGCCGCCGCGCTCCTGGCACACGGTGCTCTACAAATGAGTCTTCCCGGAACCCAACTATATAGTAATTTAAACTAGGCTAGGAGGAGGGGGCAAGGAGTCCAGCTGCCGCTGCCCAGAGGACCAATTGAGGCTCAAGTGACAGCGGCGCAACGGAAGCCAATAAATCGCCCCTCAACAGGATGGGCAGGATAATGGGCATGAGGAGATGGGGATTCGAATACAAGGATGTAATGCCAGATATGCGGAGACAGCGGAAATTTGTTTAAGCCGCTCAATTTGCCGGAACGCGTCTGTTTACAATGAAATTTCATTTGCCGTTTAATTTCGTCGTTTTCTTTTCTGAGGGGATCGGGGATCGGGGCATTCTACAAACGTCATGCATGTTCTATATAGTATATAGGAACATATCTCGGATCAAGTTGAGTGACAACTGCCAGTCGAGCGGCAACGACGGGTAACCAAAAAAAAAATGCCTCTTGCTCTCGAATATTATCTTTAGGCTAGCGCTTCGGGTTCTCGTATTCGTATATTTGTTCAATATGCTCTATAAATATGATTGTCAATTGAGCGCCAAGCAAATGCATTTTCCCATTTCCCCGACTTTTTCCTCTCTCCCTCGCACTTTGCGCACAAAATGGGGCGTTTTATGTAAGTCTATAAATTAAAACATGAAACGTTTATAAACCCATATGACTGCTTGTTGTGGCAGACTCAACTGCAGCGATGCGCTTCCATTTTGTTTTGAATTAAATATAAGTATGCGAAATAATACAAATATTATTGAAATAAGTATATTTTTGAAATTCGGTGACTCGCATTGTTTTTATTGCTTGAACCACTTAAGATAAAAACTTTATCGTTTGGCAAGTGTTTTTGTAATATATTATTTAGAATAACCCAAATGCATGTATAAATTTCAATATGTTTTCCTATTACAATTAAATCGCGTATTAAAAATTATTGAAAAATTAGTTATTTTTTGTTTTTTTATAAAGACTGATTTTCTGATCTGATCTGATAAAAAATGCCACTAAATTTACTATGGTCTCAAAGGTCTCAAAATGATCTCTCAAGACAAAGTTCCCTGAAAATTACAAAATATTACAGATTGATTGAGCCGTCTGTAAGCCACTCTCGGGGGCATTAATTCTATACCCTTTTGTGTCAAGACTCCCAGCGATTCCTTGCGGCATCCATCACTTTCGCCGAGTGCAGCATATGCAGTCCGAGCATATCTGAAGTGCTTACAACAAAATACACTTATCAGCAATGAGTGTGTCAATTACATACCCACACTATGTACATCCCTCACCCTTTTCGCCCCTTAAGAGAGTGCCAACATCGGGCAATGTGTCGAGTGCGATGGTGCACTGCAGCGGGCTGTTAATGAGGCTCATTATTAATATGGCAACGATATGTTTGTGTCATGAGCAATGGGCTGGCTGCGAAGGGAATTTACACGCGCTGCCCTGTCAGCACGAAGATCAAAGCGCAGCCTCCAGTGGCTTCGTATCCGAATCGGGATCCCAAGTCCCATGGCCATAATGTGTTATGAGTTATTAGCGGAGTGGGAAGATGATCCGCTTCCTGGGCTCCCAGCTCTACAGAGCAACAGATCGCCAGATCTCCGGCTTGTCAGCAGCTGACAGCGCCATGTCATAGCAATTTGCCCAGCCGTAGGTGTTCCATGTCAACTTCAACAGCGCATCGCCACCTACCCGAGATGTCGGTGTATAATGCCCTCTGACAGGCACTCAAATTGAATGCTCACAACACGGACAACCGACGAACTGGATACTATTTAGCGTTAGATTTATTTCGGGAATTAAACGCAGATCGCATTTCAAAAGAGAGTACTCGTGCACTGGGAAAAAAAGGGAGCCTAAGTGGTTATGAGGATATATTAAAAAAAATCGTTCCAGCTCAGAAAAATATTTATAAATGCTTAAAGAGACTTTGATTTATAATAAATGCCTAATTATAACCCAAAATACTTAATCATTTTAGAAGCAATGGTTATAAGTGATATTTTGTAAGGTTTTAAAAAAATATACATACCTATTCTTAGAATATAAAAGTTTCCAAAAATCGCTAGCTTGTATTTTCTTTTAATATTGAAAACACATTTTGAATAATTTAATCTCAGTGCATAAGCATCCATTTCCCAAATGTGCGCGAGAAGGGCACTTAAGAGATCTCTTTAGACAGGCGCCGGATGTGCGCTAACACTCTGATATATCCCCTATATAGTACATATCCCATATAGTTTTTTACCAACATCCAAATTCCAGTCCCCGAGCTGGGGAAAAGTGCAAGTTACAACTGCGTGTAGATATCGACCATGAGGCGGGTGTATTTTTCCAATCCGAATCGCCCAATCGATTAGATTAGATATGAGGGCCACCCACCACCAGATGGAGAGGGAAATGGGAAAATTAGATATATCATAACTGAGACCAAATGCCATCAAACAGCGCATAGCCGTTACCAAAATGCGACGTCCACTCTCGCCGACATTGGCCAAATTGGCCGAGAAGGAGGTGAACGAGACACCCGATCGGATTCAGCAGGACATCATTATCCTGCGTGTTTGGATTCGCCAGCAACCACATCTTCGAGCCAGAACAGATGTGGATTTTTTGATTGCCTTCCTGAGACGCTGCAGATACAGTTTGGAGGAGACCAAGCGCCGGATTGATCGCTACTTCACCCACTACAACCTTTTTCCGGAGATTATGAACAATCGCTGTGTTACCCAGCGACTTTTGGATATCAATCGAATGGGGTAAGCTAGGGATATGTATTAAACTGAAAAAAATCAACATCTTAAACGCTAAATCAGAATCTCTTGAAACGGATTTTGGGATTAGCTTTGCTTGCGTATTGCCGCCACACGTACAGTGTGCAACAATACATTCAGCAAAAGTGATTGGATTTTTTTTAATATACCGAGGTACCTATAATTCCTATAACTCCTAACCTTTCAGTATCTGCCTCTATCCGGACATGCCCAAGGGCGATAGTCGTACCGCCATGTTCATAGCTCGATTTGGCCACTTTGATCCCAATCTGTACATGCTGCGTGAGATCTATCACTTTTCCTCGATGGCCATGGAGGTGATAGCGCTGGAGAATGACTATGCCTCGCTGGCTGGGATTTGCGAAATCATTGACCTCGAGGGCGTGAACTCGGATAAAATGCGGCGATTCGATAGGGTTTTATTTCGCAAGTGGTGGAACTGGCTCTACAATTGTAGTCCTCTGAAGGTCAAGGAAATGTACATTATAAACATGCCCAAGGATATTCAGGGTACCGTCATGTTTCTGTACAATGTGCTCAGCATGCAAGTTAACTATCCAGTGGGTATTTGAATTATAAAAATTTCTTCAATAATATTTCTCTAAACATCTAACATTTTGTAGATACGCGTTCTGAAAAACAGCGAGGAGCTGATCGAGCATATTGGCAAGGACTCCCTGCCGGAGGAGTATGGCGGCACCAATGGTCATATGGGCGAGTGTGTGGCCTACATGGAGGACCTGCTGAACAGCTACCGTGGTTATTTCGAGCAGGACTGCAACTACGGGACCATCGAGGAACTGCGTCATGGAGAGATAGCCACCTATGAGGCGGAATTCGGAGTTAGTGGCTCCTTTCGTCGACTAAACTGGGATTAACGCTGACCCGGAAGCAGGAAATCCAACTCTTTCCCTCCCCAAACGCATATCCATATCCAAATACATTCCAAACTCCGTTGTAGTCGATCAATTAAAGATAACGACCACCACCTATCATCTATCTATGCACTCGTGTATCTATATCTATCTGCCGGCCGACGGGTTTCGGGTTGCCGTTCCAGCTAGTTTACAAGGTGTTGGCCCCGATTAGATAGCGCCATAGCCAGCACCATTAACGCCACTTCGACCACGGCGGTGCGTCAGTGGTTTTGGCATTCAGTTAGCATTGGAAAGAGCGCCGGAATGGCGACCAAACTGAGACCTATCGATCCCCAACTGGCGGCTCTGGCCAAGAGCGAGTGCAACGAGGAGCAGGCCCAGCGATCGGAGATCATAGTAACCATCCAGACGTGGATCACCAAGTCGCCGCACCTCAAGGCCCCCACCGATGAGCACCTAATCCTGGCCTTCCTGCGGCGCTGCCGTTTCAGTCAGGAGGAGGCCAAGCGGCGATTCGACAACTACTACTCCCTGCGCAACGTATTCCCCGAGGTCCTGGGTTCGCGGCAGGTGGACGAGGCTCTGCTCACCCAGCTCCAAAGAGGGTGGGTTAAAGTTCCTGTCCTGTTACAAATTATTTAAATTTCAATTTTTTAATCTGTGGTGTCAGAAGTAACGAATTATTAACAGCCTTATCATAGTAATGGTAAAAATAATTTATTCACTCACTATCTATGGACAGTACTTGCGAAAAATTAATATCGTATAGGCTGTGTATACCTAACAAACACTAATGATAATTTTTTTTTTTATTCTGTTATTATTCTAAAAAGTATTTGAAATTGCTAATTTACTCTCCATGTCTACAGAATCCATGTAATACCCAGTCGACCGGTGAGTCCCGAGGGACCGCGGGTTATCATCTCGCAGTTCCGTAATATCGATCCCAAGAAATCAAATCCCCGCGAGGCCTTCAAACTGGTCTTCATCATGCTGGAACTACTGGCCCTGGAGTGCGATAATGCTTCGATTTCCGGCTTGGTTTGGGTTGTGGATGCCCGGGATGTGACCATGGAGCAGATGCTGCAATATGATCCCTTCCTGCTGAAGAAAGCCTTTGCCTTGGTGGACCAGTGTATTCCACTGCGATTTGTGGAGATCCATATGATAAATATGCGAAAGGAGGGACAAACCATTTTCAATTTCGTGACCAAGTTCTTGCCCTCCAAGCTACCTTTTAAGGTGAGTCATTATATGGTATATCTAATAACAAATATGCTTAAAAAAATGATACTGTTTATTCCTCGGAATTTATAGAGCAATAAATTTAAGAACTTTGTTTACAATAGCTATAAACTTATATGTAGTTGTAAAACCCCGCAACATTTTATTCATCTTTCTTCTATTTATTTTGTTGGTTATTGCTTTAGAGATTTGAAATAAATATAATTAATGTACGCTATATATTAATCCTCCCGATTCACAGTTCGTGGTGCACAAGAAGTCGGAGGATCTGTACCAGCACCTGCCCAGAGATGCGATGACCATCGAGTATGGAGGAACCAATGGCTACCATGCAGAGGCCATTGATCATTGGCGCCAGAAGCTGCTGAACCACAAGGATTACCTGGCCAAGGATGCCCAGTATGGAACCAACGAGAAACTCCGCGTGGGATTGGCCAGTGCCTGGGCCAATGGAGAACTGGACGGGATGAGCGGATCCTTCCGCAAACTGGAGTTGGACTAAGTTAAAGACTCTAATTACTGTTTTCAATTACCGTTTAATTAAGTGCTAAAGCTATACAAATAATTTAAGGCCTATTCGGGTCACTGGGTATCTCGTGTATCCTCTTAAAAAATAGCTTTACAATTTCCTAGTTGGGTCTTAGATCCTAATGCTAAGTGCTGCATTTCCGCTTGAAGTTCGCATGCAGAGATGTGGGTGCAGTGGCTCCAGATGTGGGCGGCGTCTTGGAATCAGCAGGCGAGGGCGTGGCCTTGTTTTGAATGGGACTTGTGGTGCTCTTGTTGATGCTCTGGACAATGAGGTTTAGACAGTCCAAGCTTGAGCCATTGGCATTGCCCTCAAAGTCTGTTTAAAAAGAAGATTTCATATTAAATATTTAAAAAAAAATTTTAAAGATTGTTTAGCAATCTCACCTGTAAACTGGCCATATTTCTCCATGTGCTTATTGTAGAAACTCAGTTTATCTTCTAAATAGGCACCGGCATAAGAGCTCTAAAAAACATATATGTAAAAGAAATAAACTTTTAGTTGCCTCGAGAGAAATTGGGGGAAACAATAAATTACAGAAAAGTGTCGCCGGGGCGAAATGACAACGTCAAAAATGCTCCGGGCCTGTCAACTTGGCCAACAAGTGCCATTCGAAATGCAGTCTAATGATGAGATTAAGCCAAAAATTTATGCAAGTAAAGATTCCACAGGCCAATTAAAATGCATTGAACCACCGCATTGTCTGCACCATTGTGGGGCATTGTATGCTGCACACTTATTAGCAATTAAATTAATTTGATGCTATATTTTTGGTGCGCATACGCAGACGACAAGGCATCCGGAGATTCGCTCGGGATTTCATTAGAAAAATTCGCTTTAACGCCGATGCTAAGCAAATTATAATTGCCACTTCTGGGTGGGTTTCCTTTATACCCCCCATCCATCTTTCCCCATCTGAAGTGCCGTCAGTTCGTCTGCAAGGATCGGGAAAAACAGAGCATCCCATGTTTATATTTAGCGGACAACAAAGTACCGAGGAGCAGAACAACAGAATTCAACCCGAGTGAACTGAACTAAACTGAACGAGAACAGACGAACTCACACTGCACTTTTATAAAGCGATTTATCATTTTCCAAGCGTTTAGTGACAGCCTGCGCTCGATATGCGACAATCCACAGACCGGTGCACAGGAAAAAATTATCAGAATTGGGGCTACATTTTGTGTATTTAAATTAAGGTGAACAATATATAAATCTGTATTAAAAAATATTAAATTAGGGAGCAAACAAAGAACACAAAGATCATCAAAGATCTTTGGAAAAGCAAAATAAATCGCTTTACGAACATACAACTTTTTCCGGTGCACTTGTTTGTATGACTATATGGCATTTCGGTGTATTTCATTTCTTCGAGCATATATCATGCGTTGTATCTGAATGAAATGCCACTTATCACTTGGGCATTCCGTTTCTTGGATTGCGTAAAGATCATAAGCCGCTTTTTGGCGCGCTCCTCTTAGAAGTTCTCCTCCGGTCTTTGAGAGCACATAACGGATATGCGGCATTATGCGATTTGTTAACCACAAGCAGTCTGATTTTTTACCACGAAATATGCTTTTAATATACTAAACCCACTGGTGAGATATTGCTTTATTTTTACGAGTGTTGCGGTCACTCGTAAAATCTTATAATCCATTTGTGAAAAAGCTCTATTGATGGCAATGGTTGTCATGTCATAATTGTCATATTTATAAAAAGATGGAAAACTTATAATTTCTAAGTCATGGGAAAAATTACTATGTTAATTCCTTACAAGATACATGTGACCCAAAACCAACTATATCACAAGACCCTAACAAAAAGTACCGTTTTCCTTACCTACATTGTAAACTGTTTCAAATTCCAGAGAAACATTTGACTATCAATTAATTGAGGTATAAGGTAAGTCAAAGATAACAAAATGTACACAAGCATATCTATACCAAAATTATTTGTTGTGATCGTAAAAAGCTTAATTGAAGGGAACCCTTTCAAGCACTGACTCACTTTTCAGGTCTACGTTTATCAATGGATAGTTTGAACACACATTGTATGCATCTTTGGGTGAGTCATTTGCACCCAGAAGTTCTATCTTGCCACTTAAATGATTATGGCTTTATTTACGTTGAATTTTGACTGATAGACGGCAAGGCATTTGATTTCGGCGACACTTAACGCCATGTATATCTGGAGTACTTCAATTTATTGGCCAAGATAAGCGAATTTATAGGATCCTCGAGATACACATTTCGACTTGGAAACAGTTCAAAAGGAAATCTTGTACTTAAATCGCGCAGGTTTATAAATACGCACAGGCTCCAAATGAATGGATATGGATGGGATGGATGGATTGCCAGGGTCTGAAATGCATTTGAATGTCTGCACGTTTGGCGCGATGCCAGTTTTTAATCAAACTATGGCCGCACATTAATATCTGCCAATGGGGGGCGCAGTCAACATACAAATATGCTAAGTTTTATGGTAAATTAACAAATTTGTACATTAAAAATGTGAAAAACTTAAACAAACTGCATGGAAATTACTCAACGCAGGCCAACCCGAAATGAAAAGGGGGCGATTGCGATGGCGATGGCAAAAATGTTTGCATAATTGTTGACAATTTGTTCGCCTGTCATTTGGGAGTACGTATATCCCGCTCCCGTTGCCCCACTTTCCGGACTCGTACCCCCACTCTAAAGCCATGTCTTGCAACACCTTTCGAAGAAGAACACCCCGAGATCTTGTCATGTTTTTCCTGTGCAATTTGTCAACTGCCACATCGGACTTTTTTGATTTTCCCCGGCGCAGGAAAACTATTATGAAACAGAAAAGCGATCGTCGCAATACACCAAACATGGGGATGATGATTCCAACTCCAATGAATTTGTTGTAATTAATTTACAACACGATTTCCATACCATTCATATGGTCTACGGGGCGGGCTTATAAAAAGAAAATTTATTTATTGCCTTTCACTAAATGCACAGACAACGACGACGACGACCCTTTCCCTGCCACCGTAAATTCTCCGGCTATTTGTCCTCTATTTTTTCCACGTTTTTGGAAGAAAACTCCCTGAGATCATAACTCATAATGTTCCCGGCAATCGGTTGAATCTCCAAGGAGGATGGAGGATAGTCGGCGGAGCTTATTAAGTCGCACGTCAGTGAGCGCATAAATTCCGGTCAGCAGATACAGAGATACAGATACAACAGATATCGGTTGGGGATCTTTCTTTCGGGTATCCGTATATTCTATTTTCATGTTTTCGGGCATTGCGGCCAGACCCTGAGATTTTGATGAATGTGCGCGTCGCCAAAGAAAAATGTACGAAAGCGCTGCTCATGCATGAGAATTTTACGAGAAAATAATTGCGGAACGTTATTCGGGGCTTAATATTAATTGGCGTTCAGCGGAAAACTTACCAGATAATCGGACTGGCAGCTTTTGCCGCTTAGACTGGGCGCCAGGTTGTCGCCATCGCGTGTTGGATTGGATTCCTATAATCCAAAAAATAATGTGATTACCTTTGGTTTAAAGACCTATGAAGGAGACGTTCTGACATACCTGTAGCAAGTCCTCCAGGCTCTCGATATACTCGATGGCGTTGCGCAATATCTCGACCTTGGGCAGCCGCTGGTTGGGATTGGATGAAGTGCGTCGCTTGAGGATCTCAAAGGCCTCGTTAACCTAGAATGCGAGAGAAACAATCAATTAATGGCCATCGTTGAAATCATGGAAATCCATTAGGCGCGCCATAAAAACACAGCCCCATTCGTGTTCCCCTTTAAGTGGCTGTTTAATAAAACATATTTTAAATTAAATAGAGCATAAAATTTTCAACAATTAAACCGTTCGCCCGTCGTCTGTCTCTTTATGACAGCCAGCCCCTGTTCCGTTTTCAGATCCTCCCCCCCTGAGTTCCCCTTCACTAATGGGTCTATGTGGAGCTATAAATACGAGTGGTTCATCCAAAACTTTTACGATTGTCAAACTCATAAATGGCGCTGTTTAACTCTTGGTCTTGGCAAATCTTTATGTTTTACACTCGTTGGGTGGTTTCCCTTCTGCGTTTTATGTCAATGGATCCTCCCTGGTGGGACTGGGGCAGGCCATCCCAAGGCAAGTGGCGATGTGTTAATTTGTGGCGTGCTAGCGGCCCTAATGACATTGCAACAAAGTTGCAGTCCTTAAACGTGAGGGAATTTCCAACATAACAATAATCTATTTCGAGCTTCAGCCGAGGATTAACAACAAAAATATTGCTAGCATGCGGTTAGCAAAAGAGCCCCCTGATGTTACTTAGGTTGTAAATGCCATGAATCCTATTAATAAGATACCTATCATATATAATATAATATTCTTTGCTAAAAAAATTAGCATTAAACAATTTAAACCTAGCATCTAGCATATAAAAAAATTTTTTGTATGGTTTTAATAGAAACAAATATTAGCACTTATAATATAATAATCTTTGCTTAAGAAATAAATGGGTAGCATTAAAACAATTTTAACCTAGCATCTAGCATATAAAAATAATATTTTTGTATGGTTTTTAATAGAAACAAAGTGTTAGCAATTACTTTAAGATAAACTAATTTTTAGAATACCTACGTGTTATTTTATCTTTCTATGTTTTTGTCTTGTGTTTTTAAAAAAAAGTATAGACCATGTTTATAATAAAATGGTGTGAAAAATATTAAAACTGAACTATTTCTATAGTCAACTCGCCAAAAAGGGGTCTAATATTCCTTTTAAGGAATAAAACCTTCAGTTATATTCCATTTAAAGTAGGAACCGGAAAAGTTGAATAGATATTATTAGAAAAGGGATCCTTACCTTCCGCAGTCTTCGTCGTTCCCTCATGGTGGCCGCCTTCCGTCGGTCCACGGTGACGCTCTTCTTCTTGCACGCCTTGCAGGCCCAGGTGAGGCAGGGCCTCGAGGATTGGGCGGATGAGCAGACGAGAGGCGCCAGGACGTGCTCCTCGGAACTTAGACTGCTGTTCTCGTCATCGTAGTCGGTGGTGTAGATGGGCGATGGGGTCATAGTCATGCCCAACTGCTTGTCCAACTCCGCCGGATGATTTCCATGGCTGTAATTGCAGGAGGATCCCGATCCAGAGGCGGAGATCGAAGCAGTGCCATTATTTCCCGCACTCGCATCTCCGACGGCATTGAAGCGGCTGAAGAAATTCTGTAGGGTCTGGTGCGGATTCTGGCTGGGATGGGATAGCTGATTCTGTTGGCCATAACTGCTGAATCCGTATCCAGGATGTGATTGCTGGCCATAGCCGTTGTTGTATTCCTGTTTAATGTTGTGATTTGCGGGCATTTCACTGCTGCCACTATTGTATTTGGTCATTTTGGAACACTTCTCTTTAAACGGTTATATTATTTTGTTGTAATATTTTTTAAAACACAAAGTAAATATGTTTCAAAATATAACTTTTAAAGCTCTTTATACTTGAGTGGTGTAACCTTGTATTTTATAGGTTCCTTATTTTTCAGTCCAGATTTTGTCTTTTGAAAAAAACAGCATTTCAAAAAAATTGTTATCAAATGTTTCACTATATATGAGAATAGTGGTGCCAAAAGGATTTATGATAAGAAATCCTAAAGATGCATTTTCGTTTTTGTTAGTTCACTTTTTAAACCGAAACTCAAAGTTCAAGAAGCTTTGAATATATTGCTATTACGGAGTAGGATATTTTCACGTACACTATATTTTATGGAGAACTACAACATTTTTAGTGCCCTTTGGAAGTACAATTCCACTTTATCCTATGACTCCCGATTCACGCCCGATTTGCGAGCCGCAGAGACTACGTACCGCCGTCCGCCGCAAACGCAACACATTTGGTGACATATCCAAGAACGGATCTCGATCTCGATGTCGGGGCCCCCAGATGTGCTCGCGATCCTCTCGGATGCTCTCCGCGCGGATGCTGCCGCGTTTTGAGTGGCCAGCGGGCGGTGCTCTCGAGTGGTTCCTATTTTTAGAAGCGCCCCGCCATTAGACGACATTGGGCGTTTGTCTAAGGCAGAAGGACGTAGCCGCTGGCCACGCCCCCCCTTTTTGGGTGAGTTTTCAACGATTTTCCGCTCAATGAACGGGTGTTTGTGAAAGGCTTATTGCCGCTTATAGATGGACAAATCAAATAAATTCAATTCTACCTGGCCAGCGATTAGTGCGGGGCATAAATTAACTGCGGAGGAGCTGAGCAATTCGTTAATGTGACACTTTTAGTGGAAAGTCCCTCCACACCCACAGATTGCCTCAATGGCAGCCACTTTTCCATTGAGTTATTGTTATACCATGCCCGAGAAAAACCGAATTGAGCAAAAAAATAAAATAAGAGAGACCGAAATAAAAATAGTCAAAAAGTTGTGTTTATTTATCGCTGCTCAGGCACAATATATATCTTTGGAAATCACCTTTAAATCTTCACCAGCGATATTGTAAATCTTTTGTCTTAGGCCCGCGGTTTCCTCGAGCGTTTCCCATTTTCATTTTTCCACTTTTCCCTCCCCATTTTATTTAGTTTCCTGCCTTTTGTTTTCTCGTCGTGCTTTGATGGATGTTTTGTTTTGATTCGGTCTGATGGTATTTTGGTGGCAAGCCTATTTGTTGTGCCGCACGATAATCCCAATTGTAAATCTAATCATTATCGCCTGTCTGGTGTTTTTTTTGGATCAGTTAGGATGGCCAGGATGACCACTTCTTTAAAAAGACCAAAAAGTTTTGAAGTCTAAAAATTTTCAACTTTATTTCCGATTTAATCATCTACAATGGTAGTCGTTTTACATGTCTAAAACTACAGCATAGTTAGTACTTATAAAATAATAGATATATTTGAGGTAGATTGATTGCAAACTTCAGTTTGTTCTGAGATTCTAACAATAATTACGCTATAGTCGACGGCCTCGACTATTAGATACCCATTACTCAGCTAAAGAAGTGCGAAGGAGAAGGCAATAGGCAAGTAGCAAATCGGCTGTTTCCCAAATTGCACACTTTTTTGCTTATTACTTTGTAATGAATGGTCTGATTGGAACAATATTTGGCTTGGCTTGATCGACTCGGCTAGTGATTCTGATCGGAAACGCTTTCTTCTACCTGTTACAAGCTTCCCGACGAATCTAACGTACCCTTTAATCTACGAGGAACGGGCATAATTAAGGCTTTAAGTTCCCGAATCCAGTTAAAATACGCTCCAGTCCTAGTGTAAATACTTGGTTTGTCCAGCTGTCCGCAAGTCCCTTCATTAAATCCAAAGGAAATGATGCCTGCCACATATACGTATTCCACCCATCGCAAATTCTTGGTAACCATCAGAGGACCGCCGGAATCGCCACTACAGATGTTGCGTTTGCCACCTGCACATATTTGTTTATTGGGAAGGAACACATCCCTTTTGTGTTTAATGCAGTACGTCCTATATTCGCTAATTCTGCTGTGCAATAATACATGACTGGTTCCGTTTTCCGTGACGCCCCATCCGGCAATTTCTAAGAAGAGCTTATCTAAGGAAAAACTGTCTTTCGGAACACATATCGGTCTGATTTCTTTCGTATACCTAGGGCAGATGAAACTTTTGATCAGGACGGGCAATTGAAATGTATATATAAGATCATTACTCACCGGACTGGTATTTCAAGTCGCACCAGAGCGATGTCGTTTGCGTATATCCTGCCTACACTGAAATTTTGATGCAAAATTACCTCCTTCACGTCGATTTCCAGATGCGGTGGAGCGCACTTCTTTGTAGATGGTATATTTGTTGACAGTCCTTCGTAGTCCTGGTGTCATGCTCTCCCAGGCGAACCCTCTTCAGAGTTGAATCATGAACTCGGTTATACAATGGGCAGCCGTCAGGACGTACCAGTTGTTGATTAAAGATCCGCCACACTTGGGAGCTAGAGTTCGATCCCAATTCTCATAAAGAAGCATCGCCATCCAGGGAATTGATTGAGATCCGATTCACTGCCATGCGATATACGGAAAGAACCTGGATTTGAAACCTGTCCGCACTGTTGGTTACTGTCTTTGGTAGGAAGTTGCCTGGTTGCGGACAGCAGGTGTATACGCGATGTTCTAATTTTTTACGTCTGTAATCGAGGGTGCACAATCTGATCTTATATATTTCTTGCTTGACTTGATAGGTTGCATTGGTTGCATTAACGATGTCAAGCATGTTGGGACATTTTCCAATTGGAATGCAGCTCTCATCGGATTCACAATTTGGAAATGCAATAGATTTTATTCAGCGAATCGTTACGTAGGTATGGACAGCAGAAACGATTGATGTCACAAATCCTTTCGCCTAATACTTTATTAGACGCATGTCTTCCTTCCGTAGATTTAATAATGTACTTCAATGGTAGACATTTATCTCTACTTAGGCAGCGCTCTTCGGGTAGACAATGTTGCACGAGACAGAAAATGGAGATCCTCCGGCCTGAAAACCTCTCATGAGGATCGTTGGCACAGTGTCGTCTTATTAACTTTTGTACATTATCCTTTGTAGGTCTTAGATGCAATGGGCATTATGTAGCGGGGTGCAAACCTCATTGTGTTTTGGAACAGCTGGTAGATTTTGAAATAAGTACATGGTTTTCAGACTTTGATACACTAGAAATATACCTGACTTTGGACAGCAGTACAAATGATTGCCACATTTCTTTTTCCGTAATATTTCATGTCTGAACCTCTTCAAGTCCTCGGACTCAAGAGTAACCTTTAATGCCGGACAGTGGCTTAGACTCTTACATTCCTCATCGGGCTGACAGTTTGATAATGCTGATAGAGATCAGAATTAGTACACGGAACAACATTCAATTTGATTTTTTTTTACCCGGCTTAGGGCAGCAGACAAAGACCCTCCGTCGCTATACATATTTATAAGCTTGATAGTTGCACCGCTCCTGTCTTATGCATTCTGATCTGGTTGACAGTACGAATAGCTGTAAGAAATGAAAATAAAAGAAATGAAAAACAGAAAAGGCTTTACTGGAAATTTTTACCATGTTTTTAGCTATTGAAAGTCTCATTCAGGAAAGCAAGAACGCTACAGTCGAGTGATACTATCATATACCCATTGCTCAGCTAAGGGAGTGCAAGGGAGATGGAGATATGCAAGCATCAAAAAGCTCATAATATTTTAGCGAATGGTCCGATTTGACAATTTGATAAAATCTATATAAATGTTTGCAGCAGATAGATCTTAGCGTTATGGGCGTTTGGGGGAAGCGTGAAAAAACAATACATTTCTGTTAAAATAGCAAATCGACTAACCATAAAAAAAAAAAAAAAAAAAAAAAAAAGATCGACTCGCCTAGTGATCCTAATTAAGAAATACTTTCTACTGAATATCAAAATACAATACACTTACACTACTAGTAAAGGGTATAGAAATATCGTAACTCTAAACCTTTTAATCATTACCTGTTCTTGCATCCATTCCATTATTTCATATGAATGCGTCAGATGAAGCAGGAGGAATAAAATCGCTTCAGCTTCAAGAACATGTTGACCCGTAGACGTTTGAAATATAACTGCTGTTCGGATGCGCCGTCGCAAAAATATCATTGATATCTGTAAAAAATTCCTGGAAGTAGTTGAGTAACTGAACAATTCAACTCAAATGATAAATATTGTGTCTTGCCGAAGTTAGCTTCCTTTCTCGTTTTTTATTTCAATATTTTTATTTTTTGTGTTTTTTTAAGACGAGCGACAGAATTTCGGGAAACGTTTTATTGTGTAGATAACGGATTTTTATGTTCTTTATTAGTCTTATGTGTATATAGGAGTCTTATAAATCGCAGCGATGAGTCACCATAATTTATTTTAGTTGAACTCTTTTTACACTTTTTTACTTACGAAATATGGTAATGACAAATCGCCTCGAAATTTTATGCTCTAAGAACAACAAAAATTAATTTAGTATATACATAGGTTTCTTACATTATTTACTGGTACACACTGATTATCGGTAAATATATTTGGATAAGGCACTCCTCACTCACTTAATTTCGATTTAGGCTTCCTTAAAAAGTTTCGTCTTCCGGGGCGGTGCCCCATGAATCACATATGTATGTACATATTTGTTGGGGACTTTTATTTTTATTTTATTTTAACAATTACTTTAGGTTTCTGCCATGAAGACACAAATATTATGGCTTAAATTTTGTTACGGGATAAGTTCAATATAAAAGTAAAACCGTTTGCAATTCTGTTTGCAACCACGTTTTCGATTGGTATTTTTTAAAACATATGCACATATTCTCAAAGCGAGCGCGACTAAACAATTATTACCGAAAATTCAAATTATTCAAATTATTCACCGAAAACTTGGGATAACCTGTTTGCCTAGTTTAACTTTAAATTCCGTAGTGTCATCCGCATCATTTTGATCGATTAAACTAAATCGATTAATATATAATATCGATACTGAAGAGAGCTGTCACTACATTTTATTTTTGGAAGGTCAAGCTATACAAATTATTGTAAGCATACAATTAAGTGTGCATTTTTTACATTTTCAGGTAACAATTGGCGTATGAGTGATATTCCGATTTTCAAAGTAGGGGCTCCAACCTAAAAATGGCGCGATAAAAGATAGATGGCGTATTTAGGTCCAACAGATGACGAGTACAGTTAACTTTTTAAAATGATATGGCAACTCCCCAATCTTTTTCAGAGTATTTGGCAACGTCAATTCATTTAAATTTCAAAATATCATTTTTAAATAAAGAACAAAATATATTTGCGATTTAAAACTGAAACTTATTAAACAACACAATTCACGTCGTTGTATTTCAGTTTATTCCATTATTTATAAATCGCCGTAGCTAAAAATATTTAGATGACGCAATTGTGTAGATTTTTTGGTGCAGACGCTTATCATTCGTGTATAGGTAAACACCTTTACCAAGGTAATAACTAAACTGAAGGTTGGGCATTATTTTGCCACGATCAGCAATCTTCGAATCGAACACACGGAACATCACTTTCCAATTGAGGCAATTAAGATGGGCAATGTCTGTCAATTGTCTGCTTTTCTCGACCCAAGATTGCAAATGGCACCTGTTGTTCTTTTCGCCTGTTGCCAGGTGGCAATTGAGGTTGTTGCTTTTGCATTTTCAGCTTTCCATTCATAAAAGCGCGCTGCATGCGGCAACGGTGCGTATGAATTACGTCAGCCAATGAATGTTCGGTGAGAAAGAAAGAGTTTGAGAAGTGGTGGGGTGGAGAGGTGCTTCACTTCTCTGTGCGCAGAGAGCGTTGCTGAGAGAGGGGTGGAGAGCCAGAGAGACAGCATCAAGTCCTTGGAGAAGTACACTGCCGAAAATAAAGTAAGTATCGATCTTCCAATCTACTTCTTTGTCTTGAACTAATAAAAATACAAATACATATATATATAGAAATCACTTCACTGTCCAAATATTAAAAATACAAAATAAATTGTATATGCAATTGTTTATTTCCTTTAAAAACGAAAAACTTACAAAACTCGACCCGCTAAGATACAGAAAAATTTATCACTTTATGTATATTCACTTATGAATAATATACTTAAAATATTATAAACTTTTTTCAGTGCACCTTATAGCATATCAATGTCCTTTGTGATGCACAAAAATATAGGAAAACCTGTATTAAGTACTCACTCTCTTCAAACATAAATACCTAAATGCGAATATGTATGAACGAATGTATATTAAAAGCCGGTACAGGTTTTTTAGTGAATCCATCATATTTTTACCGTTTATGTTCGCTCAGCGAAATTCGCTGGGGAAGAGACTGCCAAGGGGGTGGCAGTGGGCGGAGAGCGGGGAGATGGGAGCTGGGAGCTGGGAGCGTTATTTGAGAGCGGAAAAACGGCGCAATTCTCGCATTTACATTGAAGCCGTCGGTGGAGACGGTCGCCGTGCTCCATCAGTTAGCGAAAAAGAGACACACAGCTACAGAGTGTAAAAGCGAGAAGGCGATTTTGTGTGCATCGGAGTTGTCATTGTTATTGTTTTATTACAAGGCGCGAAAATGTTGTTTCCGCCACGCAGAATGGAAAAAAGCTGATAAAAACGGACTACATATCGAGTAAACAAAAGCGGAGTGTAGTGCAAAAGTTGAACGGATATTGATAAGCGGGCAATAAACGATATCGATCGTAATTGCTACCGTGGTACCTGTGAAAGTGGTATTAAATGGACAGGTGGGTAATGGTGCATCGAATCGTTGCATGTGGAGAGATCGGATGTGTCTATACATAGCATATATCATATGTGTGTCAGTGTGCCAAGTTGAGAGCTTTCAGTGTCAACACGTGCATATACACATATATACACACAATCTTATTTACCTTGCTGTCGACTTACAGCACTTTGTTGCTGTAATCACTATGGCTTATCAGTGTGTGTATATTTGTGCGGGTGTTTTTGTTTCTTCCGCGCAAGCTCTTCCTCTCGTCTCCGTTATATTTCGTCCCCCACATGCTCACCCACTCTCTATTCACTCTCCCTCTCTCTCTGCTCTCTCTTTTAATACACAGCACTTTAAATTCGAAACAGATTTGATTTATTTTTGCTTTTGTTTACTTTGTTTACTGCGTGATTGTAGGTATTTTAAATAGTTTAATTTATTGCCCAGTCACTGTACATGCAACCCGTTGATGCAATTCGCCAGACCCTGAAAATAGTGCAAGTGCATTAAGAAATCACTGAAATAAATGAAATTCCTAAATACATACGCATATGGCAGATTAAACAGTATTATAAACATTTACTAATGATATTAAAGCAAATACAAGCGAATACAAATAGTATCTTTGTTTTTTGTACAGCCTCGCAATAAACTTCTTCACTTCCATTTTTTATACAAACTTTAACGATAATTTAAAAATAGAACGCAATTTTTCTTTGCATGAGTAATTTAGAGTATTTAGGATATATTCGAAAGAACTTTCCACCAGGAGCTCAAGCACAGTTTCCGGTTAATATCTATTATATTATGATCTCAGAATCTTGCGATTTATTTGTTCTATTTTTTTCATTTAAGAGCCTTTGTCTTACCCCTTTAAAGCTTCTGGAAAATCTTTCTTGTCGACTTCTCAATTCCTCCCAGCTGGCACTTCCTCTCCTCCATTACGTATCCATCATCTTTGTTACATTGTGACATTCCCAAGGTCAACCGACTCACATACTTCATGATTGACAGTCTAAACGACAACTATATTTTTAATAATTTGAGAATATTAATTAAACCTATCAGCAAGTCACCTCAAGTCTCATTTTTTGGCACGTGCCATAGGCATTCCACGCTTTGAATTGTTTCGCCTAAATAGAGATAGTGTTAATTATTGCAAAATTTTTTGCTGACTTTGTCCTTAAATTTTCCACGCAACTTAGCCAATTTATTTACTAATTATTTATGGCCATATAAAAATTTTAAATATTACCATAATATACTAAATACCAACAAGTTTGCCCAAGAACCCAAATATTTAGCACAAACCAAAAGAGTTCCCAATCAAACATTTGCCTTTCCATTGAGAGTAAACTTCCTGTAAAAGTTTGCTTATTTCGGCTGAATAAATCTTTAAGTGCAAGCAGCAAACAACATTAAAGTTAAATATAAGTTTTAAGGTTAATAATAGTCTTTGGTTTCGAATAAACAAGCGGGCGAATAAGAGAGCCACACGTGTGTGCCAACTAAGCAAAAATGAACGCAAACTAAAAATGCGCAAAAGACAATATTCGGGGGATTGCTGGGACTAGGTATATATAAATTGAATGCTTTATATAGCGAAAAATTAGGCCAAATGTGTTAATAGATACATATACATATGCATGTGTGAAGAACTGTGGGCCTAAAATTGTTGTTTACCTTTTTTGCGCTGTTGTCCAACCGAACTGTCTGGCGAACTCTTTTATCTGCCGGTTTCGCTGTAGTTCGCACATCTTATCTTCCCTTTCGAGGGGGTGCAACAAATACAAACCCCTTATCAAAGGCCTTCGTCTCCGAGCTGAACTCTTATCAGTTGAGCAAAATTATATAGCGATAGCAACGCGCGACTGTAAATTACATACTCCAGTTTTGTCGTTCTGGTCGGTGGTGCTTTTATTTATCAATATTTTGTAGTCTAGGCCGTTCGAACATATGCCCTAGTCGATAATCTTGATAATGCTGAAGAGAAGAATGGCAACAGAAGTAGAATTGATAGCCACGTATTATGCACAATAAATAAAATATATTTTTAATTGTTTAGTTAGAAGTGCTGAGTCAAGTAGTCTGGTTTGTTATTTATTCTCAAGTGCCTGTATCATCAAGATTTAATATTTTAGCCCGAATAAGGAACACTTAAGATTCTTGTTTGCTGTGATTCAGTATTTACTTTTTAGATAACTGAAAGAGTTGTTTACCAAAGATGAACACATTGTTGAACTCTCAATGAATTTCACTTATTCGATGGAAACTCTGTATTTATAGTGTCAACTCACCAATTAATTCTGTGTTGATTATACGTTTGAGGGGCGTGTTATTGTATAACAAGCTGTACATATACGTTTGGAATTTCGAAAGCACCCGACTATTAAGACATTTGTACACCTAATTCAAGCCGTTTAACACTCTGTCAATCTCAATTGTGATCATACGTAGAGTAATGAAAGTTAAATGAGAGAATGGCAAATGAGAGGGGCCAGACTGAAATTTAGACAGCTGCACGTATATCCCCCATCCGAAAGCTAAATAGCTAAGCCCTGATCCAAATGCCTGGTCAGCCCATCTGGGTGGAGTGAAGAATTCGTGTCTGTGGGTTCGTGTGCATTGTTGTTTTCGACGAATTTCAGTCACCAGCCACCAAGATACACTTTTATGCCCCCCTAAAAAAGTCAACTTGTATGGCTATACGCCATGTACATGTGATATCAATGGGCTTAAGGCTTTTTTGTTGTGTATACATAGGAAAACGGAGCACAGAATTTTTGTGAGTTCTGCGCCTGTTACCCAAGCACAAAAATAAGTTGATAGAGCCCTCTTTCAAGAGCCCCGTCCCCCCAGGTTCCCATGAAACACAAGCCGATAAAAACTATAGACTGGTATATAAACAATTTTGAGAAAAATTGGCTAACCTTGAACTGTTGGCAAAAAACTTTCACAATGAAAAAAGTTCAGTATCAAGGACCCAGAAATGTGTAGCGAGTCGACTTCGGAGCGTTTTTCATTTGGCAAACGCTGCGTATACGTAACTTGTATGGCAAAAGAAAACACGTATGAGAGTGTATGTCAGTTTGTGTGTGCTTCTGAGGATGTGGGGTGTCGTAAAACACACACACATCGGACTATCAGGGTGTGCGTGCGGATGTGCGTTTAAGGTTTTTGAACTTGTTTTTTTGGGAAATTTTCCACTATCCAGCCTGTTTTTGGGTCAATTTATTTATGCAAAAACATCGAAATCCCAAGAAGAAGAGAAACAAAGATTAAAAATATACAAAAAGATATAAAAGACTGGTATTTAGAAACAGCGTACAAAAACAGAGAGCTCACAAATACTCAGAAATTCCCTTCATTTCGGGAAGGCGGCAATCAAAACAAAGTGTGCGAAATGTTTAAGTTTATTCGGATATGCATGTATGAGTATAAGTGCTACACGCGAAATAAAATAGCTAAAAATACAAACAAATAAGCACATGGGGGTACATACAGTTTTACGCCTATATATCGAGCTTGCTCGTTAATGGGTCCCATCACGATATGATGGTCTGGCAGCTAGGCATTTACACATAAAAAAATGTTGCTTTTACAGTAAAACAACTTAAAATAATACATTTATTATCAACTTTATCGTCCATTAAATTATTTGTATCAACAAAAAAAATATGAATGTGATCTAAATATATTTATGTTTTTCTTTCTTAAATACCCATTAGGTTTTCCAAAAATAAGCTGGAATATGACATACATTTCGATTTTTTGTGGTGTATACGGGTACAAGCCTAAACAACAAGTATACGTACAGTCGGCCATTTCAAGTTATGTTTTTGGTCATGGGCAGCAGCGTAGTTAGCACAGCGAAAAGATCGGTCACACATACTTAATATAACGACACCCTGCTTTCCGTTCCCCTCTTTAAACTTGCGAAAGTAAAACCTAAATGGGGATAGCTTTCAGTATGGCGAATTATCTATACTCTTCTGGATAGTCAAAATATTTAAAATATATGAGGTATGATATTAAATATCCGAAGTACCAAAAATCTAAGGGAATGCCTAAAGCAATACACTCAAAATATTAATCAAATTATTTAATTTAAGACAGATAGCCCAGCAAATTAAATAACACACCTGATAAACTTATCTAAGCATAAGCAGTCCTCAAATATTTTTAAAAGAGTAACCCGCTTAGTGCAAAGGCATAAAAAGGCCTTGTATGTATAAATAAATAGAGATAAATATTCTTAGCGATAATATCACAAAAAAAGTTAACGTTAGGCGTTGAACGTAGGGGAAAAGTTTTAAACAACATATAATAATATCAATAAGAATTGATCTTAACTTTATATTAAAGTTCCCCCAAGGTTATAAATAAGTCACAATCTTATCAAAGAATTCATAGGGTGCTATTGACTTTGATCTAATCACTGTAATAGTTACAATCGTTTTTATATCACGGCCTGTTACTAAGCAGGAATGATTTATTTTTGGTATCAGGAAAATCTGGGAAAAACATTATTAAACCATCTAAAATAAATATCAGTTAATTGATTTGTTTGGCGAACTTTTTCTTCGTCTGTCCGGTAATATTGATAAATATTAAGCCGACAAGGATCTTTATGGTCCATGATTGGCAATTTCCAAAATCTTTTCTTAATTTGAGGCATTTATATATTTATAATTATTAAATGCCCGAATTTATGGCTGATCCTTCAGTTCAAGGGGGCCTTTTTTCATTACGCAGCTTTTTTCCAGCTTGGTCATTATATGATCGGTTATTATTTAGCGTTTATAAGTATATAAATATATGACTTTATTTAATTGTGGTATTATTTATGGACGTGTTTGGGCAGCAAGTCACCTTTACCTTAATACGAGGCCCCAAGATTTTGCCATAATTCTCGGTTGATAGTGAAACTAGACTGAGAAAGAGAGTGAGAGGAAGAGGGCGAGAGAGCTTCGGCGAGCGGCAATTTAAATACTTGTTCGCCATATTCAAACCTATAGATAAGTCTTGAGAGTCGTCAGACAGAGCGTCATAAATATTTATTTTACATTTTTATTTTTTACTTTCCGCCGCTCTGTGCTGTAGTCTTCCTCTTCGCGAACGTCGGGGCGTTGGAAATGATTTCGGTTTTCGCGCTGGGCGGTTTAGTTCCCGACCGCTCGCGGAACTATTTGGTCGCACTCGGCGCGAAAAATACAAATCCACAGAAAATATAGAAAACTTTTACTCTCCACATCACTCAACACCCGAACGAACCACCTACAAGTAAGCCAGGGATCAGGTTTCGGCTGTTGAAAAAAAATATTCATAGGGCTTATTAGCTTTATAAGTAAATAGTTAACAACAAAATTTCGAGTTTTATGTAACATCACTCTGTTCTGGTCGTCCACAGAATCTCAACTGCATTCGGAGGAGCCAACGGCCGGCGAGCAATGTAACACTAGGAGCCGGAGACTACAGCCACCAGAATGTCCAGATAGCAGCCCCAGCAGGATCCCCCTATCCCGATCTCAACCAGCAGGAGCAGCAGTCAATCACATCGAGAACCCAGGAAATTGAGGATTACTAAGAAAATTTCTGGGTACACGACATGGCCCACTACAGTGGCATCGCCAGCCGGCGGAGGTGCCGGCTCATTTAAAAATCTCTTCACCAATGGTCAGTTGGGAGCAGCTGAGGAGAACAACAACAATAATGACCAGAATGAGCAGGAGAACCGTCCGAATAAAACAACAACAACGAGGGACCTGCGGATCCCGCCTGCTGGGTCTTTGGATATGGATCTTTATGCTGGCATCCGGGCTTCACCTATACCAAGTGCATTACGGGCTACATAAGGGGCTATGTCCGCCGATTCTGGCAGGGCAATGTCACCCACCGCGGCTGTGAAGAAAAAGTGAGTGGGATTACCCAAATCTGGGTATTAGACAGGTCTAACCCTTGCCAGCTTTCACGTGTGTTTACCTACAACCTGCTAACTAACTAACACCTGCGATCTGGTAATTATTTTATTGCCTCTGCTGTTTGTTTTCGTCTTTAAACAACGAACGTCGCCAGTTGCCAGTTTTCAAAGTGATCAAGCACGCGTTATCTTTCGTCGGGCGTTATCAGTTGTGTTTGGCTAATGGCAAACAACAAGTGAAATTAGCATTTTGCCAACGTCTAGAGCGGCTGCCCATTAAGATACAGATTGCATTTCAATTAACATAAGTGATTGCTTACTAAACAAGTCGGGACAAGCCCCTTGGAATAGATATCAATTTGATTCAGTGCTATAAGGTATCGGGCAACCAGTTTGGGATCGGAATTTGCTTATTTTTGTTTTTTAGCGGGACACAAGATCACCAGTTTTGTCCCATTTTTGGAACCCATTGAGGTCATCAATAAATAAAGTAGTACCTGTTAGGCTAGATATTTACATATCAAAATATTAGTAGAAGAAAAATAATAATTGAGATACCAGTTAAATATCAAACCTTTTAGATAATATAATAAATATTTTCTGGCATTTTTTATAATATAGTTCCATAAATTCCCTGCAATCATTGAGCTTCTGTTGCGATCACAAAAGAAAACAATGTCGAAAGAAGTCAAGGTTCATATTTAACCCCCAGTTAAACACATATAAAGTCGTAAATAAAGTAAATACACAAAGGTAAACAGTGGGCTGTGAGCAAGCGAGACCTAGGCCTCAGTCTTGTGGGGGCGATATAAATACAAAAGCTCCACAAATGTATGAAGTATACCCCAGTGCTAATAATATTTTCATTCTTTGTTACAGCCTGGACGTGTTGCAACGCTCATTGAGACAAAGAGGTGAGTAAAGTTATGGAATATGATTTATAAAGGGGGAGGGGGCCCAGTAAAAAAGTGATTGCGCCGTCCGAGTTTCTCAATGTAAGCCCCATTCTGTGTAGGCGGTTTCTCACCGAGTGAATAAACACTCGGAGTCCTACCAACTCGTCCATATCTAAGGTTGACTCTGGCAGATTTCCGCAGACAACCCGGCGCAAAGATTCGGAATCCTTTCGGAACCCTCTTCATCGTACGCCAGGCGAAATTCCGCGGAATATAGGCGAATGCAACACGTTGCACTTTTTACACCTTGATACTTTCTATCCTAGGCCCGGGGACTTTCGCCCAGGGCATTATCAGTTGAGTTACCAGGAACTCGTTTGTGGCCCCGAGAGACAAGCATGGAAAACTCAAAGCGGCAAGTCATTCGTCGCCGACAGCGCTATTTATACGTGACATCTGCGGAATAACGAGTTGGGAATCATAAGCGAGCGACCGTGCGCGATAAGAATAGCACACTTCGATCTAAAATACACGGGTTCAAACCCCGCCCAGGGCGGTGGCTATAAAAATATTTTTAGATTTATGCTAACCACCTGTTTTATTTTTCCTTTTAAATATATTCCTTCTTTTTGATTGCAGGGAATCACTTGGGGTGCGCCTATAGAATAACAGGGAGCACGGCACTGGATTATCTCAAGCAGCGCGAGTGCACACTGGGTAAGTAAATCAATCTTATAGCATGCCATGATTAGAACTAACCCTACCTATTGATCCCAACAGGTGGCTATGCAACGATTGATACCAAGTTCTTCCCGCGCGTCGCCTCCCAGGACACGCCCTTTAGCGGCGAGGCGGTGGAGGTGTTGGTGTATGTGGCCACGCCGGAGAATATCCATTGGTGGGCGATGACCCGGTGGAGGAGATCGCCCAGCAGATTGTGTCGTGCCGCGGTCCCAGCGGCCACAATGCCGAGTACCTGTTGCGCCTGGCGCTCTTTATGCACGAGGAATCCCCGGCGTTAGGGACGATCACCTGTTCGAGCTGGAGCGCCTGGTCCTGGAGGAGCTGTACCGCCGCCAAATACCTCTGTCGTCTGTGATGGGCCGCAATCCGGATAGGATTCGGCGTGACTCGCACGAGGACATACGCGCCCGCCCTCCTTCGAGTTCACATCCCGTGTGCCGGATACCAAGTGCGCTGCCTTAACATTTGATTGCGGATGCACTGGTGGCCGAAAACGGCGGACACAGCTAGTGATAGGCAGGCCGCGTTTATTGCTACAGCAAATTCCAAATTATTGATCGACATTTAGCTTGCTAGTTAACCAGAGTCTATCGCCAAATTCGACGTATTCTTTAAATTCTAAATAATCCTAGGCCTAACCGTAAGCATCAACTCCTCGATAAGTGATCTGATTTAGCCAATAAGCTATGATTAAGGCAGTCCGTAAGCACAAACAACTTTTTACACGCAAAACCGTCAGGGAGTTAAATTAAAACGAAAAGAAATTCATACAATTTTTGGGTTTTAATTAAATACAAAAGCATTTGCGCAAATGGAAATTAGAGTGGGACCATCAAGATCAATCGAAACTAAAACTAATTGGTGAGAATTTCGGCGGCACGATTCTCCATCAACTTCTCCATATTCGTGATGGCGCCCATCCAGGTGTCCAAAGTGCTGGCCATGCCGACGATCTGGTTGCGGTTCAGGACGCGTGGTTGCACCCACGACATGTTTACCACTCCGGCCACTTGGTCAATCTCGCCGCGCACGAGGTCCAAGGCCAGAGCCTTCATGATGAGCAGCTCAACTTCCTTGGCGGGCAGTTTGGTCTCTTGGGCGATGTCGGTGAAGGAGATGGCGCGCTCGATGGCGGTGCGCTTGAATGTCATCTCCATGAGGCAGAGCAGGGAGATCTTCTGGCGCAGCTTGACCTCCTGGGCAGCCAGATCGGGTATCTTGGACCAGATTTTCTTCATGTCATTGAATCTGTCGAGGAAGGGGTCGGTTGATAATATGAAAGTTTGCAATGATTGGCTCTACCCACTTGTTGATGTCGCCCGTGTTAAAGGCCTTGAGGAGCTCCATCAGCCACTCGTTTTCCGTGCCTTCAGGGACTCCAGGATGGGATGCGCCAGAAGTTCGCCTATGTTGTAGACACCATCGCCCAGAAGGGCAGCCAAACCAGGAAGAAGGCCTGCTGGGCCCACTGATCGCGGGGATAGTCATCCAGGGAGCAACCCAGGAACTGCAGACCACATCGGTAGTAGTCGCTGTGCTTGCCCACCCGGCGATAATACTGGGATGCCAGCATGTAGTATTTCCGTGCACGGGGGTCACATTGCCCGCCTCCTCCAGGACGTCGCGCAGCTCCTCGATGATCTTCTTGGTGGCGTTCAGATCGTTGAGGTTGCTGAGGTATAGGTTGCCCTGCATCACCTGCAGATACCACACGGCCTCATCGCAGATCTTCACCTTGTCCTTCATCTTCTCCAGGAAGTCGATGGCCTCCTTCTTGTCGCCGATGTTGTCCACCACCACCTCGAGGATCTGGATGAGTCCGTAGGGGTTGATCCTGCAAAGACAACACGTGAGATACTGCCGAGTCATCGCGGGAAGCCAAAAACTCACTTGGTCTCGAAGGTGGAAAGAAGTTCTGGTAGAGCTGCAGAAGAGCCGTTTCGTCCTGCAGGGATTCGTGGCGCACGAAGGCCACCAGCTTGATGGTCAGCTCATTCCAGAGTCTGCAAAATATGTTACGTTAAATGGGGCAAATTGATTTTTCGGCCACAAATCTCACTTTTCATTGTAGAGCTCCTCGATCAGCGTCCACTCGGCTGCGAGTTCTTTGTTGGTGGTCTTCTTCTGGGCCGCCAGGTAAGCGGTGACATTTGCCTGAGGGTTGGACATAGCAACTGCCTTTCAATCTTCGCTCTGTGCCGGGTTAAATCCAAATTTAATGTTTAATGTATTTAATGTAAAAATTGCAAATCACAATCGCCGACTAGAGGTGGGGAAACGACGATAACATTTTTGGACATATCGGTTTTAGCTGAGCATCATCGATAGTGTTCCTTTTATACATTTTTTATAATTGACAAGGCCAACTGTGGTCCTGAACACAATGTGTTATTGGTATGTCCTTGTATTTGCTCTACCTTAAACAAAAACGACACAAAACAAAATTAGTTTGATATACGATACCGATATCGATTTATTCAAAAATTGCAAAACACATTGGCGCCAACACAGCTGTCAAATTGACAACCCAGCTGTATGACCTTTCGTTAAAATGTTTTATCTTACAATTTAATTCGTATTTTAATATTTAATTATTGCGGTTCAAAAGAAGTAAATCGATTGAGTTGTTCATATTCATCTATCTTTTTCCAAGATTTGTATAACGTAATAAATAACTATCTATTCCAGTCGGATACTAATTTTTGAAAATCGCATTTTGTTTTTAAAGCCACTTTTACCAAATTACCTTTTGCCAAATGAAAACAACCTATTCGAAAGAGGAGACCGTTAAATTAAAAGTTTTATAAATTGAAATTAAATTATCAAATCATTTCAAACCGGAGCAGTGTCTCCACACCAAGTACAGCCCTAGGTTTCTCTTGCAACCCATGGCTGGTCACACTCATCGAACAGCTGTTCAGCCCGTGAAGTTGTGTACGCGGAAGAAAAGATTGGTTCAATTGGTTTCGAGGCCCGCTGCGAAATAGTTTATAACTCCGGACGCCAGGATTCCACTTGGCAGAGAGTCGTCGCGCAGCCAGCCAGCCAGTTGTTCCGATCCGCGAGAACATCGAATGCAAAACCGGGCCACAACAGCTCCGCACTGCCAATAGTACGACTACAACAACTCGAGTGTGCGCCCTGCAGCAACAACAACAATATAGAGAGTTTCCGTGTGCTTTTCGCATTTAACAATTTGTTGGCCAAATAAAGTAGAAATCGGGATTCGCTAACGAAAGTGCCGCAATTAGTGGTTATATAAATGTAAGCCAAACAACGCGACGTGCAAGAAACTATGTGGATTTGTTCGCAGAAAGTTGACAACTCGCGAAGAACTAGTTAATGTCCCCGACCTTTCCAACTGGAACTCCACCAGAAACAAACGAGATTAAAGAGATCCTCATTGGTATTTCTTTTGTGGATTAAGACCCGCGTGTCAAACATTTGTCACCAAGTAACCAAACGATCGAAAGCGATCCCTCGCCAAAAAGCAAGGTTAGTTTCTGGGTTCCATTATTGATGCTCGGGTATGACCGATGAGGTTTTCCCTGCTATCACCCCCGAATTCCAAGCAGCATTCCCTCTCTGATTGGCCCTCCCATTGGATCCGATCATAGTACAATCTATTGCCTATTGTAGGGATCCCAAACAACCCACCCACTATTTGGTTAGTCCGCCAGTTATGCAATTGGGTCTCCGTCTACCCAATCTTATCATTTCACTGGCACCACGTCGCCGTCTATTAAAAGTTCTTGGCCTGCAGTGGGAACACATGTTGGACAACTTTCTCTTTGAAAAGCAAAAGCCACTTGAGCTCAGGAGTTAGGGGTGAAGAAAAGAAAATATGATCTTTTTCAAGTTTATGTTAGAATAATTGGAAACAAGAGAATGGTTATGAGATAATACTTGGCTTTTGTAATTTAAATGTTCTTGATTTCTGAAATATTCCAAAATATTAGGGCTTAGCTTTTTTAAATTAAACATTTCTTGAAATACGGTAACCTTAGATATTAATTTTCATTGATTTTGAGAGAAATAATATTATTTAAAAAATCATACAAATTTTATATGATATTGATCATAGTTTTTTCTAATAAAATTCCTGTTGAAATATGAAATTGTAAACTTCCTGCGTCCTAAATTAAATCACGTTTGCTGTTAAACGAATTACTAACAGATGACAGATTATTTCCTAAAAAAAACCACTTGAACCCAGTCAGCAGGACTTTTCGGGAACATCCTGTTGCGCTGTCAACGTTTTTCTCATTTCCTGACGCGTCTGTGCGTTTTGGTAGAAGGAAAGTACTACTACTTTCTCGCTGGCAGTTGATTTCCTTGGCCTGTTTCCCAGTTTACCAATTTACCAAAATCGAAATGGGCGACATCTGGCAGCGACAGGCGCCCAGATACACAACTATACGATACAGATACTGATAGGTATATATATAAAAACCGGCTGAAGGCGTATTACGGTTATGTGAAGAGCGGCAATTTCAAAAATCCAAAACAAATTCCGAAAAAACGCTGTCGGATGACGACTTCATCTTCATCTCCGTCGCCTCAGTCGACAGACAGCATCTGGCTATTAAAAGCAAAAGTGAAAAATGCCACACAGTCCCCGCCGATGCAGTGGCTACAAAAAAAAAATAAAGAAAAAACTAAAAAAAACATAAACCATAAAACCAATGCAACAACAAGTGAAGCAGCTTTGTCAAGTGCATTGCCGCTTCCTTATTTTTTGTGTTTTCTGCAGTTTTTTTTGTAGCTGCGCCCGCCGCTTGTTATGTGGCCAGTCGAGTAGAAATATTATTCAATTACAAGCCAATCCAGTTGCCCCGGGCGCCAAGAGTTGCGAAAGAGTTGAGTCGGTTTCGGTTTCTTGTATATTCATATTCGATTTGGGTGCCAGGCCAACATCAAGCTCTTTCGCAGACAGCCGCGATCGAAATTATAGCACTCGAATGCAGGCTGCACTCATCTCAATGTCAATATTTAATTAAGTCTTCTTTCAGTGGAGTTCATTCATAGATTTTTCATCTGGTGCTTAAAAGCTGATGGGTTTTATTGGAATTCTTCAGTGATGTTATTTCTGCATGCTACAAAAATCTATGTTTTCTGGAGTAGCTCAAATTAATGTTTATATATGATATTCCTAGAGTAACTGTGGTAAATAAATTAGTTTTATAATAGACTTGTCAAAACTATTTTTAAAACCATAATATTTCGATTTGGTATCAAATTTATTTTTTTAAAAAGCTATCAAAGATCGAAAAATCTCCATCGTAGGTTCATATTTCAAAATAAACCGTCAATGAAAATGGATATTAATATTTCCTCAAAGATTGGACCTTAACCTCCATAAGCACTATTATTATTTTGACCGCCACTGTGGCTTCATTGATACAAATTCGACTTGGGATTCCATTGGTGGCGATTTCATAACTTTTGCTCTCACCGCTGCGCGCCTTTGGCTTTGCCCAACTTCGATTTGGTTTTTGAACAAATTTATTTTCATTTAACGCTGGGCGCGCTTCTTTTTTGGCTTTGCGGCCTGGCATTTTACTCTCTCGGGTTTCTTTTCTTTTTTTTTTAGCTTTTTTTTTTAAGTATGAATGTATGTAAGGCAATGTAGTTTGGGCAGCAGCAGCAGCAACAATAGGCGGGCAGCGACGGACCGAAAAAAGTGGTTTCAATGTTGGTAACTTTCTCCGCCACCTGCAAAAGCGCGCGACTTGCACGCGTTTTAAACCGCACGCATGCGCAGTTCGCTTGG